GCCATTACTGTCAGCTCCAGCCTCCTGTCCGTGGCAGCCGAGAGTGGGCGGTGGGAGAGGCCCCCCGGAAGACTCGGAGCTCTGGGGAGAGACAAAAGGAACTGTCGGAAAATGGGGTCCCTGACGGGGAGTGGGGCAAGACCTTCACAGTCCCTGTAGTGGAAGCCACCTCGTCTTTCAACCTGGCTACCTTCCAGTCCCAGCTGATCCCCAAGGAAAACCGGCCTCTGGAGGCGAGCCTTCTGCGCAAGGTCAAGGAGCTGCTGTCCGGGGTGGATGCCCGGACGCTGGCCCGACACGTCACCAAGGTTGACTGCCTGGTAGGTGTTAGGAACGCACCTTCATCTTCTGGCTTTGGGGTGAGGAGTCAAATGGTGAGGGGCTGATTCCCAAGGACAGTGAAGCCATGGCCGGCTTCACAGGTGTCTTTCTAGGGGCTGGGACTCTGGGCTTGTCTATCATCTGGCACGAGGACCCCCATTCTCTTCTTTTACTTTGTTTTGTTAGGATCTCACTATGTAGCTGTGGCTGGCCTGGAACTCACAGAGATCTGCCCGCCTCTGCCTCAGAGTGCTGGGATCAAAGGCTTGCCACTGGCCCTGCCCAGTTTCCTCTTTTAAAAAGCCCAAACCAAGATATTCCTACAGCCTCTAGAAGTTGGTTTGGAATGAGGGCTGATGTTTTGAGGGAACTTAGAGAAAGTCCTGGTTCCAGCCTAAAGAAAGTCAGCGCCTGATTTAGGGAGGAGAGGAACCTGGCCCCCGCCCCCACACCACCTAGTGGACGGCAAGCAAAAACCATTCTCTCACCAGTAAACTGTCAAGATCCCATAGTGTGATCCTGCTATGAACCCTAGTTCTTCCTTTACCTCAGTTCTCTCTCTTTAGTTTGGAATATGTGCTGGTCCAAGAATCCAGGAAGTGAGAAAAGACACGGAAGGGATGTTGCTAGGCGAGAAGAGGGGGAAAGTGGGTTGCAGGCCTGAGTGTGTGAACTTGGGCCTTGGATTGGCAATCTAGGATAATGGCATCCTGGCTCTTAATCATAAGTGAGTATTTAACATGGCTCATACCTCTGGACATTTTCCTGGCCCCCATTTTACAGATGGGGAAACTGAGGCTCACTCAGAAAGGGGGAATCACTTGCTCCGTGTTCTCAGTGGCCTCGCAGTCAGGCGACCCTCTTAGTTGCCGCTCTGACTCCCAGATGGCTTGGACCAATCCTGACAGGAAATTAATCAGCCCTTTGGGCGTCTTTGCAGGTTGCTAGGATACTGGGCGTTACCAAGGAGATGCAGACCCTAATGGGAGTCCGCTGGGGCATGGAGCTGCTCACCCTCCCCCACGGCCGGCAGCTAAGACTAGACCTGCTGGAAAGGTAAGGCTACCTTACCGGCTGTCCCAGGGCTCTGACCACTCTTCCCATTCCATTAGCCAATCGCAACCCTTTGGTATTCGGCTCAAAGCCAGCCTGATTTCCCAAAGACAGCGGCTGATCGATCGACTTCTTTTCTCTCATTCCCCACGTCTATCAATCTTGGTCCCGCCCACCATTACTGTCCACTGTGTTCATTCTAAAACTCCGCCCTTCGGATTTCACCGATCAATTACAAGCCCCTCCTCCTGGCATCCCGATCCCGCCCCTGACTTACATTGTCCAGTTGGGCTCCCTTCGCCTTGCCTGTCACTCTGACTGCGCCCCTTAGTCCTTACTCTACTTTCGGCCTCGGCCCTTTAAGACCTATGCCTGGCCCCCGCCGTGTGTCACGTCCCCTCTGACCCGACCTCTCCCACAGATTCCATACCATGTCCATCATGCTGGCGGTGGACATCCTGGGCTGCACGGGCTCCGCAGAGGAGCGGGCAGCGCTGCTGCATAGGACCATCCAGCTGGCGGCTGAACTGCGGGGGACGATGGGCAACATGTTCAGTTTCGCTGCGGTCATGGGCGCCCTGGAGATGGCCCAGGTACTGCGGGGTCCCGTGGGGCGTGACCCGGGGCGTGTCCCCTGTGTGTGTGTGTGTGGGGGGGGATAGAAGAGCTTCCTGTCTCTGGGCTCCTTTTTGAAAGACCCAGGAGAGTTCTTCCACATTTAACCGTCTGATCCCTTCTCTGGGCCTCTGTTGCCCCACCTGTCAGATGAATGAGAAATACTGAGGTTAAAGAATATACCGACAGTGTGCTGGTGGGTGGGCTGGAGAGAGGGCTTGACCTTGAAGAGAGCATGCCTTTCTTGCTAGAGGGTTCAGGGTCTGTCTGTCCATGCCCAGTCTCCAAGTCACAACAGCCTACACCTACTCCGCCTTCTAGTCTTGCGTGCCCATGGGGCACAAAGATACACTGAGGCACACACACGTACACGTAAAATAAGTAAATCCTTAGAAAATAGAACATACAGTGGGAGCAGGTTCCAACTCAGTTGTTAGAGTACATGCTGAACATGGTTTGATTGCCAGCACCTCATAAACCAGGCATGGTAGTGCATGCTTATAACCCCAGCACTGGGAAGTGGAGGTGGGGGACCAGAAGTTCAGTACATAACACTCTGCTCCCAAACAACCAGGACATACAGTGTCTGTGGTTTGAGGAGCTTTCTGTAGGCGAGGCACCACGCAGCCCTTCCCTGCCTCATGAGAGAGAGTCTGTGTTGCCCTGTCTTACAGAGGGAGGTCACACAGTCCAAAGCTGAGATTTAGGGTTTGTAAATGTGTTGCCGTGGTTTCATGGATGATGTATGAAAAGCACCATTCCCATTCCATGAGTGACAGCGAGGAAGATAATTATTGTCCCCTCCATCTGGGTGCCCATTCATTCAGTGGGGTAGCCTGTGACCAGCTGCTCCTGGAGGGTCCTTTCCTAGCCTGTCTCTCATAGCCCGGTCTCCCCAGATCTCGCGGCTGGAACAGACGTGGATGACCCTGCGGCAGCGACACACGGAGGGTGCCATTCTGTACGAGAAGAAGCTCAAGCCTTTCCTCAAAAGTCTCAATGAGGGCAAAGGTACCTTACTTCTGACTCTGCCCAGGCTCCGGTCTTCTCTGGCTTACCACAGTCTCTCCTGGGGTGGCGAGGGTGACAGTGTGACTGCTTTCCTTTTCCCTGTGGGGTAACCATGTCCGCCCTGTCCACGTCCAGGGTGGGCTCACCAGAGAAAGAGGGGACCGTCCCAGGTGACCGGTGCTTTCTGGGACTGTAGTGGGCGGCAGGGTCTTCAGGTCTAACTGCCCATCACCCCCTCTGCAGAAAGCCCGCCCCTGAGCAACACCACCTTCCCGCACGTGCTGCCGTTCATTACTCTGCTAGAGTGTGACTCGGCCCCTGCCGAGGGCCCTGAACCCTGGGGCAGCACAGAACACGGCGTGGAGGTTGTGCTAGCCCACTTGGAGGCTGCCCGCACCGTGGCACAGCACGGGGGTCTCTATCACACCAACGCCGAGGTCAAGCTGCAGGGTGAGTAGCTAGCTACCATGCGTCTAGGATCCTGTCCTCTACTGGCTTTCCTCCGTCTCCCACTGTCCACGCTGCTTCCCTGTCTCCAGCCATGTACTGGCGTTTCCCACTCCTCAGTCTTGCCTCCCGACTCCCTTACCCCTTCGATCTTGTCACTCATTTGGTCCACAAGCAGTTGTCAGCCAGAACATCAAGAGCCGAGCCGAGGTGGGTTGAGAGGCACTCAACACCTTTTGAGTGTCTCGAATGCACAAAGCCCCAGGTCTCCCCCCACCCCGGGGCCACCTGCACACACACAAACACAAATCACCGCCTAGTCTTTGCCAAATCCCAGGTTGCAAATAGTTGAAGGAAGACTAGGTGTCAACCGCGAGCCGTATTCTCCGGTGTGTTTTGTTGGGTCCCTGCAGGGCTAGGGACAGGTTCCAATGAGCAGGACCCTGAAGGATGTGAAGAGCCCGTGCTATGTCTCCCCTCCTTGAGACCCCTGACATGTCCCCTCCTCTCCCCCTCCCCCACAGGGTTCCAGGCCCGGCCGGAGCTGCTGGAAGTGTTCAGTACAGAGTTCCAGATGCGTCTCCTCTGGGGCAGCCAGGGTGCCGGCAGCAGCCAGGCCCGGCGCTATGAGAAGTTTGAGAAAGTCCTCACTGCCTTGTCCCACAAGCTGGAGCCTGCCGTCCGCTCTAGCGAGCTGTGACCCCGGAGAACTTACCTCTCTGCAGCTGCGGGCAGCATTGGGGGCAGAGGGGTTCAGGACTTTCCCCAGACACCACAGGAACACTGTGATCGGCCCAAGAATGTTCTGGGTTCAACTCCAGGATCCCCCTTGCACTTCCAGGGTCCTGAATGGACTCAGAATTCCATCCTTCCATCACACACACAGAGTCTCCCTTCCAGAAGGACAGGAACCTCTGTTCTTCTCACCGGCTTCTGCTGTTTCCCATCTCCGCCGAGGTGCCCTGTTTTTGAGCCATGGGAGGCTCCCCGTCCCTCTACCTTCATCTTGCTGTAAATAAGTCCGACCTGTAAATATATGTACAGAAGCCACGCCTTCTTTCATACAATAAACTCGAATGGCTTTCTTCTGTCCTGCGAGGCCTGGCTAGGCGGAGGCGCTTTCCCCATGTGAATGGTGAAAAACTTCAGCCGATACCTGGCTAGCACCAAGGACTTTCCATATTACCCAGCGAGCCAAGGCTACGGCAGTCGATCGGTCACTCCCTGACTCCAGGAGCTCAGGCATTAGCAGGGGAGGCAGGCAGTCCAAGCCAGTGCAGGACGTAGGGGCCTGCTCCTCACTCTGAGCTCAGGGCTTGTCCAGAGAAGCCATAAACAAGCAAGAAGGCCAGAGTTTGGTTTAAAAGGGCTCCTTGAAGTTAGGGCTCTGGAGAGGTGACTCAGAGGACACGGGTTCAATTCCCAGTGGCCACATGGTGGCTCCTAAATGCTAGCTACAGTCCCAGGAGATCTGGTGCCTTCTGGCCTTTGTGGGTACCACACACATGTGAGGTGCAGGCAAAACACCCATACACATTAAAATAAAACTTTCAACTGGTTGTGGTGATTACACCTTCAATCTCCTCACTTTGGAGGCAGAGGTCAGGCTAGGCTGCATAAGACCCCTGACTTCAAAAAATAATCTTCAGAAAAAGGAGGAGGGACTTTTCCTGAGCCGTCACAGAATAGGCAAGCAGATGGGGAAGTACGGGCTGACGGTGATCCTAGGTCAAGCCTCAGACCTCAGGAACCTGTTCACCTTTAATCCCAGCACTTGGAAGGCGGGGCAGACGGATCTCCATGAGTTTGAGGCCAGGCTGTTCTACAGAGCGAGTTCCAGGACAGCCAGGGCTACACAGAGAAACCCTGTCTGGAAAAATGTGAGAGACGGAAGAAAAGGGGAAGTTACATTTTCTGAATTACCCAGACGTAGGAAATCACTGCCTTTTAATTTACTTATTTATCCATTTAGTCTGTGTTTGCATGCACGTGTGGCTATCAGAGGACAGTCTGCAGGAAATGGGTCTCTCTTTCGAGCAGGCAGGCTCTGGGGATTGACCTCAGGCTTGGTGACAAGCATCTTTAGTCACTGAACTGTCTCGTGAGCCCTGCTGACTATTTTTTGAACAAAAACACTTAATGTGACCGCATTTCATTGAATATCACTTCCCTGAATATAGCAGGTTTGGTTACATGATATGTGTGGCACCTGACACAGGCGGAGAGACACTCTCAAAAAACCTAAATTAGCACGCTTTGTTACATAAATTTTTTAAAGAGCTTGGAAAAGGCGCCCCCAGCAAAGTGTAAGTTTCCACACAAGTTTTTGTTATTATTGTTGAGTCACCTTAGCTATTCTTTATTCTTTCTGAGATAGGGTGATGGCCCCTAGTTATCCTTGACCATGAAACGCGGACTACAGCCTCGGATTAGGCGTTCTCTGGCTCCCCCTGGCGGCCAATTTTTGGTGCTGCTACTAGACCACCCTTCGGGTTTCAGAGACGCGGGAAAGGGGAGCCGGGAGTTGTAGGCAGTAGGCGTGGTTGCTGCGGAGCGGTGCGCACCGGGAGCTGTAGTTTACAGGTCCAGGCGATGGGCGGCCTCAGGCCGAAATCGGGACTCAACCGGATGGCGGTTGCTAGGCGAGGCTGCCGGCCTCGGGGCTCGATCCTCGGGCTGCTCGGACTGGTCTTGGCGACCGCCACCGCCTGGGACGTGGCTTCTCTGTACTGCAGCTTCAGCTCGTTCTGCGAATGCGACTTCAGGCCGGACTTGCCGGGTGAGGGTTGGGAACCAAGGCGGAGGGGTGGGCAGCTGGGAAGGGGTCGAAGGGGCTGCAGCCGGGGCCGGCGGGGGGATCAGAGAGCCTCCGGCACAGTCCTGAGGCAAGGGTTTGTGTGTGCCTTGTGGAGAGGGACGCCTGGTGGCTTATGGTAGGCCTCCCTTGAGGGAACTTGTCGCCGGCGGAGAAACCTGCCCGGATCTGGGCTGTACCTGAGGCTGGCGCTCACTCGCGGCTGGTGCAATCCAAGGAGCCGCCGCTAGGGGCGCTGCCGCAAGGCTCTTGCTGAAGTGGCTTCTCAGTCTCTGCTTTGGACAAATATCCCGGAGGCCTCCGACATGCCTTTCCTCTTTGCCTTGATGGGTGTTTTGTTTGTTTATTTTATTTTATTTTATTTCATTTTATTTTATTTTATTATTTTATTGGTGTTTTTAGCCCGTATGTGTGTCTGTGTGAGGGTGCTGGATTCTGGAGTTACAGACAGTTGTAAGCTGCCATATGGGTGCTGGGAATTGAACCCCGGTCCTCTAGAAGAGCAGTCAGTGCCCTTAACCACTGAGCCATCTCTCCAGCCCCCGTTGTTTTGTTTTGTTTTGTTTGTATTTTGCTTTTTTTCTTTTTTTAAAAAAAATTACTGTTTTTTATTGAGCTCTACATTTTTCTCTGCTCCCCTCCTCGCCTCTCCCCTCCCTTTCAGCCCTCTCCCATGGTCCCCATGCTCACAATTTACTCAGGAGATCTTGTCTTTTTCTGCTTCCCATGTTGATTAGATCCACGTATGTCTCTCTTAGTGTCCTTATTGTTGTCTAGGTTCTCTAGGATTGTGATTTGTAGGTTGGTTTTCATTGCTTTATGGTTAAAAACCACTTATGAGTGAGTACATATGATAATTGTCTTTCTGGGTCTGGGTTACTTCACTCAAAATGGTGTTTTCTAGTTCCATCCATTTGCCTGCAGAATTCAAGATATGTTTTTCTGCTGTGTAATACTCCATTGTGTAAATGTACCACATTTTCCTTATCCATTCTTTGGTTGAGGGGCATTTTTTTTTGTTTTTGAGACAGGGTTTTTCTACATAGTGCTGGCTCTCTTGGAACTCTGTAGACAGGCTGGCCTCAAACTCACAGAGATCCACTTGACTCTGTCTCCAGAGGGCTGGGATTAAGGGTTTGTGCCACCATGCCCAGCTGATTTTTCTTTTCCCTTCCCTTCCCTTTTTCCCTTCCCTCTATCTATCTATCTATCTATCTATCTATCTATCTATCTATCTATCTATCT